AAATAATAGAAGTTATAAGATGTAATGTAAGATTGAAAGTCTGACAATAATAGATACTATATAAACTTATAATGACAATCAGTTCTATATAGAACCTGACAAAGCCTTCTGATTTTGGCAAAAGTCAGTGTAATAATTGCTTCTAAAATTACAAATCAGATAAGATTGAGGTCCAGTGACCCTTAAATATTAAGAACATTGTTCAGAAGAAATGTAAAAGACATGAAGAAAGATCTTAGCAAAATTGTTAAAAAAAAAAAAAAAAAATTTGTCAGTTTGGCTAAGTGATTGATTACTTAAAAAAAAATATAAAATTAAAATTAGAGTATAAAAACTTAATAAAGTAAATAAGTTGTCAACTTTCTAAATAGTAAGTTGTAAGTTCAAAACTTACTGATAGCAAAAATTTAAACAATTACTTTTTTTTTTTTTAATGTTAAAGTCTTTATCTTTAAGATGTAATATTTTTATTCAAATATATAGAACATAGCATGCCTTCAGAAACTACCTTATATTAAAAGTTACAACTAGCTACACATATACTTTTAATATCTAATTTAAGTAGTTTGCTTATATATTGCTATATAAGTTTTATACTAAATGCTATATCTGCAAGCTAACTTGAGATTTTGCTTATTTAAATACTCTGTATATGCAATCCTTCTTATGCTGATCAGTATCCTTAGAACTACTTTATCCTTAATAGAAAACTTACTAGAGCCTTTATATCTTATATATACTAATCTAGTTTTATACAATATTCTATAGTTACCTAATACTTGTAGTTATAGAAGTTATCTGTTTAACCACTATATTACACTATTTCTACTCTTGTAAAGTTTACTAAAATTCCAATATCTGTCTTTTTAGCATCTTCATCATCATTTTCTATTAGCTATAACTTAGAACTAGCAATCTCTTCTAGACTACCAATCCAGATGACCTGATATAATATACTTTTGTATTTTTTTTTCTAGTAAGTCTAATAGCCTAATTGGTTATATGCTCTTTTATACATATTTGATGTCTAGTTTAACCTTTGGTTCTTATAAAAATGTTTTATAGTCTTTAACTAATCTAATGATATTGTCAAAAGTTTATGCTACTTCTTTACTCAAAAATTTTCAAGTAGGTTTTCATTATCTTAGTTTTTTAGTTTGCTGTATCTGTTGGTCTTATTATAGGTTTGCATCAAAGTCTTATGCAATACTGGTTATATATTTTTCTATATATTGTAACATTATACTTCACATAAATGCTCTAAGCTCTTAATATTAATAAGATCCAACTTGGTATATCTGGATTACAACTACATAAGACCAACTAATAGACAAAAAACAGTTACTATAATGCAGATATAATTTTCAAATTTTGGCATAGGTGGAATTTGAACCTTAAACCTGTTACTTGGAGAATAACAACCCAAACACTACATTAGGATTGCCATTCTTTTATTTAAACAAATACTTATGTAATATATAAATAGTATTATAATAATGATATTTAGTTGATTAGTTAAAATAAAATATCTGTAACTATAGTTGTATTAATATAACTGACTGGTTACAAAACATCTATGTAATTTTGGTTATACAAAGAGAAACAAACTAATACTAAGCAAAACAAATTCAAGATAAGTTTTTGTAATTGTGTAAATCTATAAAACTAAAAAAAAAATCAAAAATACTTAAAAAAATTTAAGTAAAGAGATAATACAGATTTTTAAAAATAGTATTATAAAAGCTAGATCTAAAAAACAAATACTAATATAAAGAAATTAGATAGGCAAGAACCTTTAAATAAGAGGTACTACTAATCAGACTGCTAAGTTAAACTAAAAAAAGAATACTAAACTAGATTTAATATATTAAAAACAGCTTATAATTTTTTAAACTATTTAAATTAGAAGTTTAAAAACAAAGCAAAAGTAAAGCATAATAATATAGTAAAGTAATTAGATTGTTAACTTTCAAGTAGCAGATCTAAAGTTCAAATCTCAGTGTTAGTAAAAATTTTAAATTTTTTTTGTATTATGATTAACTGTTTTCTGTTATTAATTGGATTAGATACCTATTACTTATGTTATACTAGTATAACTAAAAGGTCACATGGCATTTGTACAATAGTTGCACTTTGTATAAAGAAATACAAACTGATACTAAGCAGTATAAATCTATGATAAGTTCCTATAGCTGTGTAAATTACAAGAACTAAGAAGACAAAAGCCTACTTTAAAGACCTAAGTAAAGAGATAGCCTGAATTTTCAATAGTGTTACTGTAAAAACTAGATTTATAAAATAAAGCTAGAACTTGTAAAGCTGTATAAAAATATAGTTTTTAGAAAAAAGCTATTATAACCAACCAGAATACTAAAATTCATTCTAAAAAAAAAAGTTATATATTAGAAAACATCTAAATCAAAGGTATAATTGTATTAATCTTTCTGAACTATTTTAACTGAAAGCTTGATAAAAATTAAATTAAATACCAAAGTAGTAGAAATATATTGTAAAGTAAGTATTAAAGTTGAAATGAACTTTACAAAGATATAGCAGTTTAATAATATGTTTTGATTACAAGTGTTGGTTTTGGTTATAACATTATTAGATCAACTATAAGAATAAAATACAAAAGATTCTGAAATATTTAGTACAAAGTTAAAGATTCTTTATATGAGTGAACTGCTTTAAAAACTTAGTAATTATGATATATTTTTACTAATAACAACTAGAATCATTGATAGATATAAATAAGCAGATAAATATATGAATTAGATGTTTAAATAGAAAACTTAATAGCAGATTTTAGATATAACAGCTAGTATAAAATCTTTAGATGAACTACTTAAATTAGACAATAACTGAAGTTATATAAGTAGCTAGTTGTATACTCTTTTTATAATTGGCTCTTGTAGTTATAATGCAACTATTAGCTAAATGTAATATTAATAAAATTCTAAGTCACAAGTATTTATTTTAATATTTAAAAAAAACAAAGCAAAGGTATAATAAAGTATTAAAGATATTATTACAGAGTTGCACCTTTTTAATACAATACAACCAAGTAACAAAATCACTTAGTACAGTAATTAACTATTACAAATATATACAAAGTAGAGATGTAGTAGTTTACTTTATTACATAGCAGCAGACAAATGATTTGAGATAACAACAGTATATAAATTAACTTTATTAAACAAATACACAATAACAATCTTACTTATAAGAATTACTTTAAAAAAAGAATATTACTTTTATAAGTTAAAGATAAAAATAGAATAGTCTAGATTAAAGGATAAAAATTTAAAATTAATAAGAAAAAAAAAAAAATTTTTATATATTTTTTTACTTAGCAAAAATAATAGAGATTCAAGTAATATTACTTGATACTGTACTCAGAATAGTAAGAGTTTGAATAATATTAGACATTATTGTATTTAGATTAGTGGAAGTTCAAACAACATTAGATATTATTGTACTTGAAGTAATAGAAATTTGAACAATATTAAATAATATTATGTTTGAAATAGTAGAGATTATGCAAAACTAACTAGAAATATTGTTTATATTATTTGTTATTCAAGCTTAAAATACTTAAAGCTTGTATTTAGATACTTGGATTTGTGTAAAGGCATTTAAAATTTGTGCAGAGTTACTTGAAGTTCATAAAGAAACACTTAGATTTATATTAAGGATACTTAAGATTTTTGAGCTACAGCATCTAGTATAGAATTTTAAATTAAACTACTTAAAATAGACAACTAAAAGTTGTATGTATAGCTAGATATTTGTAAAAATAGTTGTAAACTAACTCCATATATGTTAATAAAATAATTATTATAAAGTATAATCTTTAAAAAAATAATTATCTTTAAAAGGTGTTATTTTATAATAACTTGTCACTATGGTGACCTTATGATCAACTAATCAAATCCAATCACATGTATTTATTTTTTAATTAAAAAAAAAATTATACAAATTACATTATAAAAAAAAATTTTAAAAAATCCTAACAAAATGAATACCAACAAATGCCAAATTTACAAAAATATTAATAACAACTTCAATAGCAACACAACTCCAATAGTGCAACACCAATAGCACAACTTTAATAATAACTTTAACAATAATTTTAGTAATGATTCTAGTAATAAAAACTAGCAATATACTCAATTCTGCTAATAATTTTAATGAAAATACAAAGAAAAAAAACAATATAAAGGTCAAAAGCAACAACTTACTGATAAAAAACAGCAACTCTAAAAATGATTCTAATGTAAATACAAAGAAAAATATAAAGAAAAGAAAAAAACAATACAAAAACCAAAAACAGAAAACTTATCTGACTTTAGTGATTATTTTAGTAATGACTTCAATGATGAAAAATAGCAATATAACTAACTCTAATAATGAAAAACAGCAACTCTAGTAATAATCCTAATGAAAATACAAATAAAAATATAAAGAAAAAAAAACAACACAAAAACCAAAAGTAAAAACCTTATTTGACTTCAGTAATGATTTTAGTAACTACTCTAATAATGAAAAATGACAATATATCTGATTCCAGAATGACAATACAATGAAAAATAAAAAAATAAAAAAGTAATATAAAGATCAAAAGCAACTTATCTAACTTTAGTGATGGCTTTAATGATAAAAAACAGCAACTCCAATAATAATCCTAACAAAAATATAAAGAAAAATATAAAGAAAAAAAAACAATATAAAGACCAAAAGCAGAAAACTTATTTAACTCTAGTGACAATTCTAGTAACAACTTTAATGATGAAAAATATTAACATATCTGACTTCAACAACAATTTTAACAAAAATGCAAAGAAAAATAAAGAAAAGAAAAAAACAATATAAAAGTTAAAAGCAACAACTTACCTGACTTCAATAATAAAAAACAGCAACTTTAGTAATAATTCTAACAAAAATACAAAGAAAAATACAAATAAAAGAAAAAAACAATATAAAGACCAAAAGCAGAAAATTTACTCAACTCTAGCAACAATTCCAGTACTAACTTCAGCAATTAAAACAGCAACATACCTGACTTCAATAATGATTCTAACAAAAATACAAAGAAAAATAAAGAAAAAAAAACAATATAAAGATCAAAAGCAACAACTTACCTAACTCCAATAACAAAAAATAGCAACTTTAGTAATAACTCTAATAAAAATATAAAGAAAAAACAACACAAAAACCAAATGCAAAAACAATACAAAGTCCAAAAGCAGAAAACTTACTCAACTTCAGTGATGATTCTAGTGATAACTCCAATAATAAAAAATGACAACATACTAACTCCAATGATAATTCTAACAAAAAATACAAAAAAAATAAAGAAAAGAAAAAAACAATATAAAAGTCAAAAGCAACAACTTACCCAACTTCAATGATGAAAAATAGCAACTTTAGTAACAATCCTAATAAAAATACAAAGAAAAAGAAAAAAACAATACAAAGACCACAAACAGAAAGCTTACTTGATTTCAGTAATGATTTTAGTATAACACAATGCTGATTTTAATAAAAATATAAAAAAAAAAGCAATATAATAATTAAAATTAGCAAACTTATTTGACTTTAGCAACAAATTAAATAATAAAAATCAGAGCACTTATCTGACTCTAGTGATAACTTCAATAATGAAAAGGTACTAAAAAAAAAAACAAGTGAAAAAAACAAACTATATGCAAAAAAACAAGCTATAAGCAAAAAAAACAAGCTATAAGTAAAAAGACAAGTTACAAGCAAAAAGACAAGCTATAAGCAAAAAAACAAAGCAGCAAAAAAAACAAAGCAGCAAAAAAAAAACTGCAAAAAAAAGCAAACACAAACAAAAAAGCAATAACAAAAAAAAAGATATAATAAAAGATTAATATGACATTAAATATAATTAGTTAGTTATATAAGAGTCACATATAACAGATCACTAATTTATTTTTGCCATCTTTAAAAATAAAGTACAATGTAGATTATTTTTATATATAATTAATTGCAAAAAAAATTTATAAAATAATTACAAAATATATTACTAATAAATTTATTTATTTTTAATTAATTAATAAAAAAAAATTTATAATTTTTTTTTTGTATTAAAGTTTCTTATCTTTGAATTGTAACTGTTTTATTCAAATTATAGGACATTGGTGCCACCAAAGACTTTCTTATATAAGAGGTTACAACTAGCTATACATGTACTTTTGGTGTCTAATTTAAGTAGTCCACTTATACATTGTTATATAAGTTCTATACTAAATGCCATATCTGCAAGCCAACTAAGAGTCTTGTCTATTTAAACTCTCTATATATGCAATTTATCTTATATCATAGAAGCATTTCAAGTTATACTTATCCAAGTTCCTGATGCTCATCAATACCTTAGGACTATTTTATTCTTAACAGAAGACTTACTAAAGCTTTTATGTTTCATATATACTGACCTAGTTTTATGCAACATGCTATAGTTATCTAACACTTGCAATTACAGAAGTTATTTATATAACTGTTACATTATACTATTTCTATTTTTGTAAAGTTTACCCAAACTCTGATATCTATTTTCTTGCTTTTTTCATTTTATTTTTTTATTATTCAACTCAAAATCTAATAAACTCTTTGAATTTCTAATTTAAATTGTTCAGTATGATATACCTTTGGTATTCTTTTTCTTTAATAGTTTTAATAGCCTAATTGGTTATATGCTTCTCTATACATCTTGTTATTTGGTTGTATATTTATCTATTTCTTATTAAAGTTTCATAGGCTTTTATTAGTCTAACAGTACTGTTAAAGATTTGTGCTATTTTTTTTACTCAAAAATTTCTAAGTAAAATTCTGTTTTCTTAGTTTCTTAGTCTTTTGCATCTGATGGTTTTAATATAAGTTTGTACCAAAGTCTAATACAATACTAGTTATTAATATTTCTCTATATAAATATAATATTATATTGTATATAGATGCTTCAAGCTACTATATGACAAGTAGGACCCAACTTGGTACATCTAAGATTACAGATCATGCTTAAATCTAACTGATCAACAAAAGACAGTTTGCTGTATTATAGATTAATTTTTAAATTTCATTATAAGTAGGATTTAAACCTTAAATCTGCCATTTAAAGGATGACAACCCAACTACTATACTAGGATTACTATCTTCTAAAAATTTATAATTTATAAATAAAATTATTTATCTAATATAATAAAATTTTTTATTATTAGATATGGTGACCTAGTGAAGTGGTCAGGTTGTCAACCCCCAAGTGGCAGATCTAGAGTTCAAATCCCATAGACAACAAATTTTGGAAAATAGGTCTGTGTTATGATAACTGTCTCTGTTGATCAGTTGAATTGGTGTATCTGTAACCTTTGTTGCACCATTTCAAATAGGAGCTTAGGGCATTTATGCTAAGTGTAATGTTATACCTATATAGAGGAATATTAATAACTGGTGTTGCATAAGACTTTAGTGCAAACTCATGATAAGACCACCAGGCATGAAAAGCAAAAGAACTGAAGAGTCAGAAACCAACTTGAAAATCCTGAGTAAGAAGATAGCACAAAACTTTTAACAGTGCTATTAGACTAATGAAAGCCTATAAAACACTCCCAAAGAGATAGGTGAATAAACTGGATAGCAAGATATGTAGAGGAGCATATGACCAACCAGACTGCTAGAATCACTGAAGAAAAAGGATACTAAGATATATCATACTGGGCCATCTAAATTGAAAGTCCAAGAAGTCCTGTTGGTTCTGAGTAGCAGTTAGTAAGGGACAATAGAAAGGATATCAGAAAGATGGGTACTAGGGTTTTGGATGAATCTTACAAGGATAAAGTGGTTTAATGGTTAGTCCTGATTGCAAGTGATGATTTAGACCAAAGCGTGACTAGGTAAGCTATAAGTATGGAATACAGAACATACTAGTAAGTTTAGTACAAAGTTAAATATGACTTAGTGACCATGGCATATCTTCACTGGTTTACTGGAGTTGCTAATAGAGTGTGATAAATACAGGATTAGAGTGTTTAAATAGAGGATCTACAGGTAGGTTCTAGGTATAGCAACTAATGTAGAACCTTTGGGCAGACTACTTAAATTAGACAATGACTAAAGTTGTACAAGTGGCTAGTTGTACACTCTTTCTGTAATTGCTTCTGTGTTTGTATATGTACAAGTGCTGGCCAACTTATACTATTAGTAAAATCCTAGGTCGCATGTACTCACCTTAACATTTAAAAAAAAACAAAAAAAAAAAACACTTACTAATTGTATTTACTAAATGCCAAGACTATCACCTTAGGTTTTCTCCAGCCTTTCTATACTTAAAATTAATTTGAAATAATTAATAATAGTATTATATAGAAATAGAGGTGTAATGTCATATTGGGTGTTTTAAATAAGTAGCACAAATATAGTTTAGAAATCTTTAATGTAATTACTTTTATTACCTAATAAAGTTTCTACTTTGGCATAACAAAAAAAAAAAAAAATTAAATTTGAACTAAAAAATTGAACAAAAAGTTTGTACAAATTAGATAATTAAATATAAGAAATAAATAATCATACATAAAGTAAACAATTAGATAAGACTAATAAATAAGATGTGTAAATTAAAATAAAGATAATTGCAAATTTGATAATTAGAATAAAAATTGTAAAAATTATACTAATTAGATAATTGAATATAATTTTATATAAATTGAATAAAAACTACCCTAATTATTATAAATTTAATAATCAAAAATTTGAATTAATAACTGCACAAAATTAAATAATTGAATATGTAAAAATAATATAAATTATATAATTAATTATTTAATACTATTTTAAGTTTTAATTTTGAAGACTTTAAAAATAAAACAAATTGTAATAATAATATATTATAGAAAAATATAATATTCAAATATTTTTTTTATTTTTTTTAAAGACTATACTTTGTAACAAACTTTATTAACTTTTATTAGATTAGTTATTACAACTATTTTATATAATGCAAAACAATTTATATCAACAACTAACATCTTACAAAATCCTTACTTATATATAAATAAATTTAATAAAAATACAATTACCTATAAAATAATACAACCTGTTTAATAAATTTTAGCTAACTTTTTTAGTCAACTCTAATATTCTTAGACCCTATATTATTCAATATTCATATATACCAATTGAACAATTTTTCACTACTTATAAACTTTATATATAATTTAAAAAACAACTATATACTAAAAAGATAATATAACTTAAGCAACTTATATTATATGATCATTCTGTATTACTTGACTAAAAATATATATCTTCAAGAATTCAATATATATCTAAAGGCCATAAGCTATTATAGTTTACTATTTTAGAAAACACAATTATTGCCAATCATCAATCTAGATTAATAAGTTCTTAACTACAACTATCTTATATTAACTCTATTTTATTTACTACTAAATATTACAAAAATACACCTAGATCTTGGATAATTGCTTATAATTATAAATATAACAATATTACTATAAACAAAACAAAAAAATACAACCAAACAGAAAACACAATTTCTATAACACATTGGCTAATTGACTTTGATACCTCATATACTTACCAATATCCTCCAGTCAACTATACCTGCAAACAATATACAGAATGCTATCTCAATTCTAATTGTATATAAAAAAAATATATATTTAATATTTCTACCAACTTTACAACCAAATTTCTAGGCAGAAAAGTTAACTCTAATTCCTTTACTACACTTAATCTTTATACAAATCTACTTGATCTATTATATTCTATCATACTACAAAACTTTACTACAATATCTTTACAACCTAATATTATTATATACAACAATGCTATATCTGATATTTTTGTACAAAATCAAGCTACACATATTTTCTAACAAATTATACAAAATAACTCATACTATTCATAATTTACATTTTATACTAATAACTTTGTAAGCAATATTACTAATAAAAAATACAAAATGGGTATTAGTTAGATTTAAATTCAAGATGAAACTATATTGCATCAATATTTAGCAAAAATTAAACTTTAGCCCTTATCATACAAAGCAGAACTTATAGCAATTCTCTCTGCTGTTAGTATATATTCAAAAATGAGTACTATTACTCTTTACACTAACTTATAATTAATAATCTTTTAATACAATAAGCTCATACAGTTACCACCTACATCTAATAAAATATATTCTTATAACTATTAGCCAATATGGCATATACTATTAAATTTTATCACTGTATACCAAATTCAAATTAATTTTCAACAAGTAACTGC